CCCTTCAATGGTCCAGATATCTTAAAGGCCCCGAGGCAGCTCGGTGGCCGCTGACCCTGCACCCTCCGTCCTCCTGGCCACCCTTCCTCATCCGCGCCCTAGACAGAGGAGCGCTCAGAGCCGAGGTCCCGATCTGGGCCATACCTCGCTGTCCCCGGCCGCCTGGGTCCGTCTCTCGCTCCGCTTCTAATTAAGGCTGTGCGCCCGCTTTGCCGCTGACTCGGCGCGTGGCGGGTGTGGGGAGGGGAGCGAGCGCCCCGGTGGGTTTCTACGTTAACTTCCGGGTGCCCACGGCCCTCCTGGAGCAGCATCCAGAGACCGCTGCCCGGCCAGTCCTGCGGCAGGCAGGGTGGACGTAGGCATGCGGGTCTCCGTTCTGCCCACGAGGAAACCTTCTTCCCGGCGTCCCCCAGAGAAGCCTCCAGCTTTGAAAATCAATTCAGCTTTGAGCGTAATTACGCCCTTCCCACAGTCACGCTCCAGTCCGGGATCGAACCTGGTCTTAGGCCTGGTGGGGACGCGTGGGGAGGCTCCCAGAGTGGCACTTACACCCGGCTGCCACATGCCGTGCGGCTTCCTTTCATTGACGAAAGAAAGGGGAAAAATCCGTAACAAAAGGCAGAGCGTGTCTGCTTAGGTGCTTTCATCCGTCAGAGAAAGGACAGATGTGCCCATTGTCCAGTCCTTGGCAGTTACAGCCGGGTCAGTGCTGAGCCTCAGCCCCCGGCGACCAGTGGTCACAATGGGGACAGCCTCCTGGACCCAGAGGTGGAACATGATGTGTGTGGCCTGCATTGGGCCCATCACAGTCTGTAGATTTGTTTGTTGGGGCCCTGGGCTGGAGCCCACCAGCCGTGTCTCCACTGCAAATGCTCCCAGCACTCCCAGCAGAGGCCAGGTCTGGCATCGCTGGTTGTGGTGGCCCTTGGATCCTCAGGACAAAGGCTTGAGCTCAACAACCCCTGGGGAGAGGTCCCCATCAGCTAAGGCAGGAGCAGGCCCGTATCTGAGAGCAATGTCATGAACCAGGGAGGTCAAGGTGAGTGGGTATTGTCACTAGGACATCCTTGAAAGTGGCTGTGGCCCAGGAACTGGGTACTACAGCTAGTTTCAGCCCCAGACACACTCCTCCCCAACCCCAATGTGTGTGGAGGCCCTGCAAAGGGAAGTCTCAGTGGGCTTCATATTTACTTGCACAGTGAAGGGCTAAGAATTTAGGGCCCCTGGAGAGGAAAAGGCCTTTGGGAAAATGACACTAGCATAAAGGAACTCAGAAAACAAAGTTACTCTGTTTAAACTCCTATCTGTATACAAAAGCATAAAACAGATTATTCTTGTTTATTGTTTTTGTCCTCTTCTACAAGGTATACATTTGGCTGGGCTCTCCTTTGAGACCCAATGATGAGTTAAGTAGCATCAGCCTTTGAGCTCAGCTCTGTGTCCCTGTGCATACCCCGCACCCCCCATATTTTTAATCCTGCTGAAATGATTGATTTGCCCTATGACAACTGTCTTCCCAAAAGGCAGTTTGTTAAAAGAAAGCAAGAAGTAAATACCACCAAGTGCACAAATTGTTCATGGTTTTCTCTTCGTATCACTAATTAGGGACTTGATCTGGGAAGCCTCCTTGTTTGGCAGCTCCCAGCTGAACCTCTGGAAGCCACCTGAAGGGGGCTGGGATCAGGTGAGCTCAACCCCTCCCCCCCAGGGATTTTAAGAAAGGGGGGGGGCAAGGGAAAGATTTGCACAAATTTAGTAAGGGCTGGGCTGGTTCAGTTTAATGTTTCATTTGACTTTTTTTTTTCTAAAACATTTTTAAAAATGCAAGTGCAGGATTATTTTAGTTTGCAAATCTCCCTCATTTTTCTTGGCTATGCATACCTTTTATTTAATCTTTGTTTTCCCATAGTTAACTGAGTTGCAGTGATTTCTCAATCAGAAATGGCATATTCTTGACCTCTCAGCCAATTTCCCTCTTCCTCAGGATGTGGGATGTGTAGGAAGGACGCTCTTCTCAGGTCTAGTTCAGGTGAGTGTGCACTGGTTAGGAGAGGGCTGGGATCATCCCCCCACCCCCACCCCACCCCGCGGTTGCTCTGGGAGCAGAGGGAATGGTCTGGGAAGGGGTGCTGGGTGGGATTACTTTTTGTCCCTCTCCTTTTCCCAATCCTGTGCCCAGCACAACGCCTCAGCACCCAGGTGATTCACTCTGGGTGCGTGAAGGAATGAAAGCGCAAGGGACGATTGCTTGAAATTTGGTAGGTCAAGGTGTATTATTACTTATTAGCTGCTTAGATTTGGAGTAGCTGCACAGTGTTTAAAGAAAAAAATAATATCAACCAACAATTACATACAAGTTAATAACAATTAACAATGAAACAATTACATACAAGTATATATATATTTTAAGTGGAAGACTATCAACTGGATGCTCATTGCTGGCAGTATTTTCAGGAAAGGAAGATATCAATGTTTATTTTGTAAATAACAGGAAAAGAGCCTTAGGGGGTGGGGAGGACAGGTGCAATCCTTTTGCTGGGTAGGCTGGAGCTTGCCATGCAACCACACCAGGCTCAGAAAAGAAAAAATGATGAATAAGACTGTTCCTCCCAGTGCTGGCCACAGAAGGTTCTGGAGAGCCTTCCATCAGTCTCAGAGTCAGAGACGTAACATATGGCCCAGTCTCAGTTTTCAGGACCATTCTGAAGAAATGTTTCTAGCCTCTCTGAGCCATCAAATGTCCCCCTCTCATTTCTTGGCCTCACAAACAGCAATCCCGGGTTCTAGGGTACATTCCCTCACCTAAGGCACCAGGGAGAGGCTGACCCCTTCACAGCCTGCCAGCATTTCTCATGCCTTGTAGCCAGGCTAGACTTACACTCAGGGTGAGGAACCACTTCTTAGGGATCTGGCCACAGTGGAGCACTTGGTAATTAGTGGTAGAGGATTTGGTCCTGGATGCCTCCTGCCAAGCTCTCCTGTCTCCTTGTGCAGTCTCCCACCGCAGGAGAAATTTTGAGAATATTGTTGACTTAGAAGAGAACCTCAGGAAATCTAGAAGAAGGTGGCCTGGTGTTTCACTATTGAAAACCATTTTTAAAATTAGTCAAAGATTTATCCTTGGAAGTGATAACCAATTATTCCAGCCCCCCTGTTCAGTCTTTAACCTCCTATGTAGTGTGTAGTTTTTCTTCATCTGTTAACTTTTTTTCCTTCTTAAATCCTGTTTCTTGGCTCATGAAAAATATATTTTTCTAACTCAGCAATTTTGCACTTCCTTTTTTTCCCCACTTCTCAAAGAGGACCTGCGGGAGAGCTGGTGGCTCCTGAGCATTCCGCTGCGATACGGGTCCAGGAGCTGCGAGGGCGATCTCGAAGCCTTCGGAGGACGTCCGGCCACTCTGCGAGTGCCTCTGGTTACCATCCTGGGCATAGCTAGCTGTCCTGCACCCTCGCTCCAATTAGGAGGGCTTGTTCCGGGGTCAGACTCGTTCTGGCGGGAGTTCGCTTGGCGGAGGGCCTTTGGACGGTTCAAGCCAAGAGCACTGTGGGGAGAAGTCCGCTGTGGCGCTGAGGCAGGGGTTCGAGGTTCCCAAATGACTCTCTGGCCACCGACTGCCCACCTCTGGGGGAGCTGACCATCATTCGCCATCCTTTCAGTAGCTTTTCTCTTTTTTGGGCCCAACTTTATATCGTTGAAGTGTGTAACTAAGGAGGTTGGCTCAGGCCGCCTAGAGCGAGGAATTTTCCAGATTTGGAGCGGCTCATCTTCGGGCGCCTGCCCATCTGCGGGTCTGCCCTGGACGAGCGGCGCGCGAGAAGAGAGAGTGACAAGGCTGAAGCTGGAGGGACAGCAGGGCGGGAAAAGGAGGGGGCCTGGTTCAAAGCGACCCAAGTGAGGCCAGGCGAAGGGCGAGACGGTCTCCAGGTGCACGACGGCCCTCCGCTGCGCGCCCGCCCTGGAGGGATGAGGAAGGGCTCAAGTCGCGGCTCGCTGGTCCCTGCGCAGCCGGGAGCCCCGGGTCCGCGGGCGTGAACCTGCCACGGCACCCTCCGCCGCTGGCGGGCTCGGCGGCCCTGGGCGCACCGCCCACTTGGCGGTGTTCTCCAGACCGCGCCGGGGAACGCCGGGCCCGGCCCGAGAGCAGCAGCGACACTTGGGAAGGAAAACTCTTTAAACAAATCATTTTGGTGGCTAATCAATTAGTGTTTGCGCAGTCAAGTACCATAGATTTAACAGAATAATCGTTACCGCCCTTGTCTTTATTTGACCCGCAGACACCTAGAAGATTTAAAAATAAAACGCCAGGGTTCTGCGCTCCCCACCCCTCGCCCGCGCCTCACTGCCCGGCCTGCTCGGCTAGCATCAGGCCTTTTCTTTCTCCAGGGCAAGCCTCCTCGTGGTCCCTCCACCCACCGCGCACTTGGCACGCGCTGCCGCCTTCTCCTGCCCTTCTGGCCCTGTCGTGTCCTTCCAGGTCTTGACCTCCTCACCTCCCCTCACCCCTATCCTTAGCTGGCATGAGAACCAGCCTGCGGGATCCGGACCCTGGGGACTCCGGGTCAGCCGCCTGCCTTTTGGCCCTAGCGCCATCCAGGCGTAGGATTATGGAGTCGCCAAGCGCCCAGTGGCCTTTTTCCTGAACTCTCACCCCGCCGCCCCTTCCTGAACCCAATCAAAACCCAAGCGCCTGCCCTTTCGTTTCTGTGGAGCCCAGCAAAGACCTTCATCTTTTCGGCGAGTTCTGCTGCGTGCGTCTCCGGGTCCAGAAATGGGGTGACCCGGGTCGGGAAAGAGGGGGTAAAGAGGAAAAGCCAAGAGACTGGCTTTGGTTCCTACCCCCCCGCCCCCGGGGGCCAGGCAGGGCAGCAGGGCTTGCCGGCTTTGGGGAAGGTAACAGGGAACGTTCTGGCGGACTGCTGTGGTGGTGGTGGGGACTTCAGCCTCCCACTCTGGGGGGACCAGCTCCCAGGGTTCCAGGCTTGAAGAGGGAAGTGGGGACAGGGGGTATCCAGATGCTTCTTAACAGCTGCTCTAGTCTTCCTCCCCTTCCTGTGTCCTTTTCTGGACAAACAGGTGTGTGTCCCTGCGTGTGTCTTTGTCTGGGTGAGGGAAGGCAGGGAGTTGTATGCCACGCCCGGCCCTCTGCTGCAAGGAGCCTCCAACCCAAATCTGAGATCCCAGAAGGTTGAAAGGGTGGTCACCCAGGACTACAGACCTGGAGGCAGGGCTGATGGGCAGGTTGGGTGGGGAGCCTTGGGGACCCCAGAGGTCGAGAACACCTCTGTCCCCTTGGTTCTTCTAATTGGTTGGCTCCACAGACAGGCAGGTGCTGAACCTAGGTATTGTGCTGCTTAAAAATGAGGTGATAATTCCAAAAAAGGGGAGAGCCAGAGTGAGCTGGAGGCAAAGCCTTTTCCTTCTCCCCACACTGCCCGGACCCCAGGCTACAAGGCGGGGAGCCCTGGGAACTACCTCCAAGTCCCAGGTCTCTGCCACCCATCTAAGAAACTTTGCTCTCAACGATAGATGATTATAATGTACTTGACTAATGCTTGCATTTTCCTGTTTAACATACATTAATCCAAGTAACAAAAAAAAAAATCAATATTGCTAACAACATTGCAAACAAATCCTAGTGTCTCTCACACAAAAACCTCCTCCGATTTTCAGTCACTCCTATCTCCTTGAATGTTATTCTCCTCTAGCCCACTGTAATCCTAGCTAGTCAGGAATCTGATCTTGGCTTTAAATAGCCCTTCTCCAAAAATCCCTAATTTTTTAAGCCATGGGGAGAACCCAGGACCCTCCAAATCCTAGATCCCTGTCTCCTGGGGCTATTTAAGGACCCCCGAGTAACCTTAAATGCATCCTTGCAGCACCAGTGGATGCCCCAAGTCACTGGCCAATGACTATAGTTTTTGGTGTTTTCTGTCTATAACAAAACCTCAATCAAGGCAGCTGCCAGCAGCTGTCTAGGGCTGGGGACCTACAGGGACCCCCACACTCGCTCTCCCACCATCCTGCCCCCCTACTCAAGCCATCAGAAACAAAACTCAGCTGGCAGTTCATGTCAGAAGTTGATGATTCTTATTATGATTAGTTTTTTTTTAAAAATGGTATTTTCCACCTGGAAGGAATAAACCAGAGGGGCTGGCTAATGAAGGAACTTAGGTTTGCAAAACACTGTAAATAATTTAGTATTGTATTTCAAGGAAAAAAAATAGCTTTCTTAAATCATCCCCGCAATATAAATTGCAGACTTACAGTATGGTCCTGGTAAGTCTAAATTTTTAAAGGAGCAATATTCAAAGAGACATAGATGTCTGTATTAATTATTTATTCGCCGGTGCCTTCCTTCGTTTCTAACTTATTATTAATTAGGCGCCTCTAGTCTTTCGCAGAGCATTCCACTGAGCCGGTTGCAGCTTTAAATATGAATTAAAAGCAAATCCAAGCTACTGTAATGCGAAAATTATTCCGTGTCTTGCATGGCAGAGATGAATAGCTGCGTGGATCAATACCGTGAAACTCGGCTCCCAACGACAGGGTTATTGATAGCTTATATTAATGATGTTAATGATGGAAAAAGGAAAACAACGGCCCACCGACTTAGAAACTTTTTAGCCACTGAAACCCCGCAATAAAAACGGGAAGGGGGCAGGAATTGGACTTAAGTGTAATAAGAAAATTATTTATGAAACCGGATAAATGACTTCAGAGCCTTGATGCATTTGAACCCAACGCTCTCGGCTCCTGGCGGCCCCGGCTCCAGCTGGGGAGACCGCGAAAACCCCAAGCCTCGGAGAGCTAGGGGACTGGGGGCCTCCACCCGCCGCAGCCGCCTCCGGTTTGCCGCCCCCTCTCTCCCAGTCCCCGGCGGGGGAGCCCTCTGGGACGCCGGTCGGAGAAGCTTTTGGACTTGGGTGGAATGGAGCGGGCTTGGGGTTGGTCCTTGCTGTCCTGGCGGGGGCCGGGAGTCAGGTCAGTGGGGCCCAGCGGTCTGGGACTTTGCCCGATTTCATCACTGGTTCCTTTTGGCACCCGCAGGTGGTCAGGAGTCAACAGCTTTGGCTCTGTGCGGGGCGCAGGTGCGGATCTGCACTGTTGCCTGCCGCCCGTGGATCCCCGAAATGCACCTTGTTGGCTGGTGCCTGAGCAGGAGAGGGGACGCTTTACTGGAAGCGAGGGTGTTCCAAACAGGGGCGGGAAACTGTGGAGGCACGTTCTCTCCTCCCCGGCGCCTCCCCAAATCCAATGCCCGGCCAGGCGGCTTAACAGGGCCCAGGCAGCGCGGGATCCTCTGGGCTCCGGGTTCTGGAGCGTGGGGTCTGGGCCGCGCCGCCTGCCCTATCAGCCGCAAATATCCACCCTTTCTCCTTAGCAGAGGGCCACCGAGAGCCGGGAGGGCCCAGAGCGGGGAAGGGAAAGGTTAAAGCCTGATCCTGGCGGACAGCAGGAAAGGTCAGAGCCTCAGGGTCAATAGCAAGCCCAGGTCCCATCCCCCGCTCTGCTGGGCGTAGAGCCACCGGGCCCCTTCCCCCAGCCAGGGTCTACGGCGCCAGGAGGCGGAGGCCCTGGCAGCCCGGGGTGGGGGCAGTGCCGCGGATGCTAGGGAGGTGCGTGGCGGTTCCCGCCTGGCAGCGCGCCCCGGGTTTAGGTTTTTGGAGCTGTGGAGGAGGCCGGGGGCATTTATTCAGTGCGTAGAGGGAGAAGAGAAGATGGGCAGCGGCAGAAGAAGGCGGGTGGTGCACAAGGGCAACCAGTTTCCCTCGGAGGAACCGGGTAATTTTGTGTATTTTCCTTATTAAGTCTGTTAAAAATCTGCTCTCCCGCCATCATCCTTCTCACCGTTTTCTTTCTTCCATTTCAGCCCCTTCATCTCCAAGCCCCTTCCCTCCCCTCCTTCTCTTTCTCCGTGTCCCTTCCTCCCTCCCTCCTTTTCCTCATTCCTTTTCTCCGCCTCTTATTTTTCTCTTCTGCTTTCTTCCTTCCTTCCCCACCCCTCTTCCCTAGATGGAGGCCCGGGGGAGTCTGTGAACCTACAGCTTTTTATATGAAAGACGCCAAGTGTATCTGGCACCGACGGAAATGAGCCCTGTTTCTGAAAAAGCGGAGGGGCAGGTGTGCGGCAGGATGCAAAGGGATCGCCTGCGCTTGGGAGAGGCCTTGGCGCTGTAACTGGCCATAACTGACGCCTCCCAGGTGGGTCTCGCCTACCATTCCCTTCCTGGTCGGCGCAGGCCCCGAGTCTGGAACTTAGTGTTTATGGTGGGCCCGTTCCCCTTGCTAACGCCCCCAGTGCCATCCGGGCCCCTGGCATCAGCACATTTTTTGATTCGTTTTGATTTGATTTTATTTTGCTAAATAAATAAATTTCTAAGGCAGTAATCCCTAAAAGCACCAGCAAAACCTTTCATCTTTCCTAGAACACCAAGGGTGGCCCAGTGGAGACCATTATCAAGATAATTAGACAAAACCCGAACTTCCTGCCACCCAGGAAGAATCCCTTCTCTGCTGTCAGACTTCAAAGTCCACCATCAACTGCGTGTTCCAGATAAGCCCTGGCTCGCGGAGACCCAGCCTCATCGCCACGCAATCTGCCCTGCCTCGGAAACACAACAGACACTGCAGAAAATCACTTGATTCTGGAACAAAAATCAATATAGGAATTAGATTTATTGTCTGCTTATGTGATTAAAAATGACAAAGTGTTGGATTTTATTTTCATAAAAAAGACAGAAGGCTGAACAAAATAATTTACGATCTCGATCTCGAATCCCGCTCCTTTCATTTGCCTGGAAACACCCGGAGGAAGCGCCGAGAGGGTGGCTGGGAAGTGCGATGGCAGAGCCAGGGTGCCTCCTACACGGAGGTGAGCTCGCCGTCGGACTTGGGCGCTGCTTTGTACGTGATGAGAAGACATTTCCGCGTCTCTTTCGGTGACAGCGCCGGGCCAGCGAGGCAGTTCTCAGTTCTGCCTCGCTGCAGTAGAAGGCTGGGTGCCCTGTGCCGTGCCTTTAACTTTTCAGGTTTCAGCCTCGTTCCCCCAAATAACTTTTAGAACGTCGCTGCCTTATTGGTTGCTGGATTGGAGCAGTTCCGGAGACTTGGTTCGCTTTGCATACGGCCTTGGATCCTAGGAACGCCGGGCGTGCGTGAGCGCGCGCGTGCGTGGGACTGCCTGCTTGGCCAGGGCCGGCCACTCTCCCCCACCCCCGGAGAGGATCGTGGGGTTTCAGAGTCCGGTTGAAACCAGGAAAACCGGGTTTCCGAAACCTCCGTGGGCTGGATTCTCCAAGCTTGGCGGGCGGTGTGCACATTTCCAGCCTTGGGAGCGCGCCGGTTACCCCGACGCCGGGAGCTAGTTATCTACGTTAAAAAACAAAAAGGCAAAACCAGAAAAATCCACAGTGTGCATCTCATCTTACACATCCCCCTCCCCACGCCGAGTCAGAATCCACCCGCGTCTCCACGCTGCTGCTCGTGGGTGACTCCCGCGTGAGCTGCGCGTGCGCCCACCAGTTCACTGCCTTATTCCGGGGCAAAGTGGCTCCCGGCTGCGCAAGGGGTCTGGGATCTTGGACTCCCGGAGTGCACATAGCTTCATGCACACGTAATAGCAGCATTAGAAAAATAACTTCCAAGCCAGGTCCCTTAGAGTCCCCAAATGCGCCTTCAGATTTGGAGCTGGTGCTGTTTGGCCTGCCGCGTGGTCTGGGGGGCTCGTTGGTCAAGTCCTTCATTGGTTCTCCTTTTGTTCTGGAACCTAACCGATAGGGCTTAGCTCTTGGTTGGTGTAGAAATGAAACCCAACCAAGCCATCCGCTCCACGGAGTCCCCAGGGACCTGGCTCCTCCAGGTGGCTCGGTTCACTTGAAGCGGAGAGTGTGAGGGGCTGGAAGTGGATCCCTCCTTGCAGGGAAATCTGACAGGCCCTGGAGGCCCACTAGCTCAGCCGCTGCCGGCCGTCGGGCCGTTTCTCCCTCTTGCTCCTATCTTGCGAGGCCGAGGCATCCTCCAGGTGGGGAGCCCTTCCGCGGGACGTCAGGATGCAGGTGGTGAGAGACCCGCTGAAGTCCGGAGACAGCCGCCCTGGGGAGGAGGAAGGCATCGGGTGGCCCGGCTGCTTTCAGGTGAAGGCAGATTGCGCCACCAGCAATCCCAGCCTCTCCCATTGTCCCCTTGGGTCCTCATCTCCAGCCTCTTCTCCCAGCTGGCCTCCCTCTCCAGCCTCTCAAGCCCTGGAGCTGCAGGTCCAAGTGTCAAAGGTCAGGCATTTTCCAGGCCCGGGTGGCTTCTCCACCCCGCTGCCAAGGGACACGCTGGATTCAGGCTGGATGCCCACTCCGACCGACCAGAGGGAACAGACGATGTTCGAGCTCCCTGTGCCCCAGCTCAGCCCCTCCAGGGCTACTTGGGGTCCAGAAAGGGGTAGGGTATGGGTGGTGCAGTTTAATTTAGGAAATGACATCTGGACCAGAGAGCGTTCATCTGGGCATTTTAGGAAGGTGGTTTTGTTTGTTTGTGGAGGGGACGTTTTCATAATTTCTTTAACAGTCCAAACTGGGGTGGCTTTGACCACAGAATGAGGAACAATCTTCCCTTGCATCATTTAATCGCCCCAACCTGGCCAGAGCTGGAAATAGGCTGCCAGGAGGGATCCAGGAGAGGCAAACGAATGCCCAGTCCTGCAAGAAGGCAGTTATGTTCCAAAGGGGCCGACCTTTCGCCCGAATGGGGGCAAGGCCAGCAGAGTAAAAAGCAGATTTCTATGCACGTCCACGTGGCCCCATGTAATGAACACATCTCCATCAATTCCTGGAGGCAGAGGGCTCAATTTACTGGGGTTTTAGCTTTGCCACGTCCCCAGCCTCAGCTCTGACTGACGGCAGAGCAGCCGAGTAGTTGGAATTCTCTCTCCGACGAAAGCCATGGTCAATAGAATTCTCAGTATCAAATGAGCAATAATTTGCTGTGGCTACATGCTGGATAATGAAAGATGTTAGCGGGATCAATAAAAAATGAAAACACTTTTACTTACATCTTGAGTTACTGTTTTAAGAGCACAGAGATGCAGGAAAACCAAAGCTAGGTTCAGAGCCCCCTAACTCCCCCTTCGGAAGCAGAGGCACAGGGCTTTGTCACCGCCTGACTTGTCCTTTCTCCCTGCCAGGCCTGTACCTTCCCCCTGTGCTGACAGGAGAACAGATTATTTACATCAAATTAACCCCGCAGAAACCAGTGAATAATTTAAGTGTCGGAGTTTAAATTCTCCCCACCCCCAAACCAGAAATACATTTAAAATGGTTTTCCACTAGGACTAAAGGTTATCTAATTGGGGTAGTTTACAAAAAAACTATGCAAGTGTCCCAAAGCTGAATTGTCCTTTGAACTGTATCAAAATGTGCCATTGGCTGAGATGGCCAGGAAGGCCTGTTGTTTTTCAGTTTGTACATGCAAGGGCAAAGGAAATCTTTTAGATTTGGTTTTGTGTCATCATCAAATCTGGACAGTTCAGGTCCTAAGCTCACCCCACCCCCCAAAGTCAATTCCCTCATCTTCTTTCGCAAGCATTTCATTTGTTCAATTTGTTTTCCATTTGTATGGGGTTTATTTGTCCAACACAGCCTGCTGTTACCACCATTCAGTGCTCAAGGCTCTTACGTATCTTGTCCTTAAGGAACCAGCTGTGAAATGATTGGAGACACGGTCTACATTTTTAAAAGAAAGATGCCAAGGCTTTAAAAATGGGGAAAACATCCGTGTATGCCCTGAATAAAACAGGCCGCAACAAAAAAAGCTCACTGCCAGCTTCCAGCGTTGGAACCAATGGAGTGAGCAGAGGACATCTCAAAACGTGTGCTTGGCTGTTCCTGCGGGTTTAAGGAGACTACATTTTCCACCAAAACTTCAGAACAAAACACGAATTTAGCCACCTTAATGCCCTCTGGCTACCGGAGCTGCTTTTGCTCTGGAAGTTCCCTGGCCTGGGATCCTTAGCGGGTTTGGGTCGGACTTGGAGAGAGCAAAGCCACCGGGAGATTTAGCAACCGCGAACCAGCCCGAGGAAGCGTAGATAAACTCCAAGTTGAGGATTACCCCCGGGTGAGTGAATCGCCCAGCTCCGTTTCCCCAAGGCACACAAATGTAGGTGAGGTGTGGTCGCCGCAGGCTGCCCAGGGGAAGAACAGCGCACGAACCACAGACACGCGCCCGCACAGCGGCCCCCGGCGCGGGGCATGCCCGCGTTATTTACACCGTGCCGGGGGCCCCCTCTCCTCTCTCATTTGCTGCTTCAAACTCGCGGGGAGGACCTGTCAGCGGCTGTGGCCGGGCAAGCGGGCTAGGAGGGGGGCGCCCCCGCTCGGCTCCTCGAGCGTGACGCGGCCGCTGCCCTCCGCCCCCAGCGCCTAGCCCGCTCGCGTGACCGCGGGCTCAGCGGTGGGCACGCGTGGCCAGGCGCCCGGAGCCCCTGACCCGGCCTCCGCCCCAGTCTGCCCCCTCCTCCCGCACACGCCCGTGAGCCCCGCTTACCCTGGTGGGCGAGTCGCGGCGCATTAGCGGATTTCACGGCAAGTTGCTTCTGTGACATGCGATCGGGTTCATGCACGAGGACTAGCCTCCTAGGAGGAAGGGAAACGAGAGGCCATTTGCATAATTTCAAGTGAGAAACAGGGAAACGAGGGGGGGGGGACGAAGGTCAAGCCCCCCAATTTCTCCTCCCCTCCCCAACCCATAAATCAACCCCACGCCCCGCACCTCCAGCGCCCAATGCACAGCACGAAAAAGTAATCAGCACACGTCGCAGGTGATACCTTTTATTGCGCTCGTTTTAAACACAGGGGTGGGATGGGCCCCCAGCGCGAAGACTTTCTCGGTAGCGCGACCGCGGGGCAGGTGGACCATCCGGGCTGCTCCTGGGCCCACGGATTCCTGCGTGGTCGCGGGCGGAGGCACGCAGGGCTCGGCGCCCAGGGTCGGAGCCCGGCGCGCAAACCCAAATTCCCTCCAGCTTCTTCGGCTCCATCTTTAAGTCCAGGCAAAAGATCAATCCCGCCACCGCCCCCCCCCCCTTCCTCTCGCTCTCTCCTTCTCTCGCACGCACACATTTGCAGCCATAAATAAACAGCTCCCAGTTAGACCAGGAAGCAGAGGAGCAAAAGGGAGAGGAAAGGAGAAAAGAGAGGGACGAGACCCGGAGCGCGAGCCTCGCCTGTCTCGGGCGCCGAGTGGCTCTTTTTGGTCAGGCCAGCCTCGCGTTTGGGGATGCAACTTGCATTTGAATAGCTGCCTGGGCTCGTTATGGACTCGGGAAAGCTCTGAAAGGGAATCACTATGCAAATTGTCCCAGTTACAATCGAAAGGTTCGATCTCTCGGAGCTGCCTGACGGAAGTTGATGTCAGCTATGTGTGCATTAGGGCTGCATTACCGCCTTCCTCGGCCTCCGCGCTACTCCCGCTCGCGCCTGCCGGGGAGGCTTTTTTTTTTTTTTGGCTTATGTGTATATTCTCCCTCCGTAATTAAATAAAATAAATAAATAAATGAATAAATAAATAAATAAATAAGGCTGAAGGTGGTGGCGTGGCTGGCTCGGGCCCAAGAGGCCCACGGGCGGAGAGGGGGAGAGGTGGGACCGCCTGGGCGCGGTGGGGGTGGGCTGGGGTGGGGTGTCATTCTTTTGCAGCAGGTGTTGATGGTACTTCTAAAATCAAACATTTAGATTTTTTTTTTAGCGCTTTGCTGGATGAGGCGGAGGCTGGGGGTGGGGGTGGGGGTGGGGAAGGCGGCGATGTCAGCCTTCGCCCGCCCGCTTGATCCTACAATGCCGGCTGCAGATCAATACCCGCTCACTGTAATCCCAGTAATTGTAGGGCTCGCAGCTTTTATTTTAAAGAAATAGGACACTAGGGCGCGGGCAGGCGGCTGAGGCCGCGCGCTTGGGCCGCGGCGCCTCCGGGGGTCTTTTGGGGCGTCTGTCTCTCACCAATGAATCCAGAAAGCACCCCCCTCCTCAAATCCCGCAGGTTGCGGGATTGAGCGCCCCGGCGTGGGCCATGGCCCATCTAGGGGGTCTGGCTGACTCGCGGGGCTCGTGTGGCTTCCAGCCAGGGGTGACGCCCACCAGTATGGACTCAGGGCGGCGGCCCAGACCTGGGGCTGAGGTATTGAGCGTGGGCGCTGACCCTGGGCCACAGAGGTCCGAGACCTCTACCTGGGGCCGGAAGGTGCAGAAGCCCGGGGCCTCAAGGCCTAGGAAGGGAGCGGCTTTGTCCTCTTTCTTCAGCCTTCCAGGCTCGCGGCTGGCCTAGCTTGCGCCTCGCCTGCGTGCGGCCTTGGGCCTGCAGGAAAGGCTGGAACGTTAGGACCCGGAGATCTCTGGCCAGCGCGGCCCGCTGGACCCGGGTTGCCTCCCGGGCCACGGCGCGGCGCGCGCGTTTGGCCGACGCCCACCGACCTCGCCGCGCCCGCGGGCCAGGCAGGCCCCCCGCAAGCCGCCTGCCGCCTCGGCCATCCGCCACCTCGCTGGCGGGGCCCGGGACCGCAGCCCCTGCGTCGCTGGCCGCCCGCAGCTTCTGGCGCCCCCGAAGATGACCATCTGTCATTCAATTAAGGTTTCAGGGCAGCTGATGGGGGAGCCAGGGTCAGCGACCCCAGGACAAAACGGCCTGCTGCCTCGGATAGGAGAAGTTCAAATGTTAAATGCACAACATTGTGTCGGCTCCCAGTCTCGGGCCCCACCCGACCGCAGGTCCGGCCGGTGGACAGCAGCGGGGTGAAGGGCAGCGGTCATTAGCACTTAGATTTCAGCTCTGGGCCGGGCTCCTTCTGTTGGGCTATTTTGACCAACGAACCTTTAACCCCTTTCGCGCCAGCTTCCCTCTGGGGAAGGCCAGATTGTCCGAAAGAGGGGGGAGAGAGAGAGGGAGGGAGAGAGAGAGAGAGAGATCAGATGCACCCTGTATGAAGAGGGTTCAAGCTATATTTCTGGTCATTTCTCCATAGGAAAAGCAAATGGTATACCTACAAGATTAAAAAAAAAGTTTGTTACAACCAAAACAAAAGGTCGTCATAAAGTTTTATGTTTTAATTTTTAGTTTTGGGAAAAGAAGTTCATTTGCTGTGACCATGTGACAAAAACTGGGCCGGTGTGGGGAAGAGTGAATCGGGAAGACTCCCAGAACTTTCTCTCTGTCCCCCCAGTCCCCGAAAGTGTTGACCCCAGTGTGTGTGTGTGTGTGGATGGCGATGACCTTCAGCTCCCTACAGAAAACTCCATCAAAGTCTGCTGTGGCCAGGCTCTTCCACTGTTGAAAGTAGGTTGGACAGTTGCCCTTTCCCTTCTGAGACTGTCCTATAATAAAAGAGGTAAAACATTGTAACTAATGGAATTCATAAAGTACATTCATTAAGCATCCACAGGCTTGTGGGCATGTAGGTATTAATAGGCTCGGCTTCTCCACCCCACTGAGGGTAGGGCGGCCACAGTCTTAGCAGTTGTCAGTGGAAGATTCAACTCTCAATTACTAACCATGAGGCCTGAAAACAGCTCTGTCAGGAAGATTGTCATCTCAAGCTCTGAAGTCTAGGTTCTTCAACAGGCATTCTAGCTTCCAGCTCCAGGTTCTCAACATTAAACCTAGTCCCCTCTTTTTGGAAGTAACTATCAAGCAATCAATTAATCAATCTGGCATTCAGCATTGAAGCATCTTAGCAAAAATTTCCTTGGATAACAATGAATAATGCATGGCCCTCCAGTATATTGACTGTGGTAAATGGTCTTTAAGGTAAGGTGCAGCAACAAGTACCTTTAAATAAAATCAAAATAAAAAGTTTACCACAATCATAATAAATTGTTCAGTCATCTTCCTATTGACTCACACAGCATCTTTCTTCGGGGGCATTTGGAGTTATTTTTTCCCCCATACAAACAGGCCAGAACAAATTGATGAATTGAGCTTTCACTATGCTAATTTAGACATTATAAATATTTAATTAACATCCCTAATAGCCAGTCATAGAGGACCCCCGCTCTACTTTACACTCTTCTTAATCTAAAGTAAATGCTCTTCCCATTAATAGCCTGATGCCATTTTAGCAGCTTCCTCCATAAAAGGGCCTCATCTAGTCCAAAAGGAGGAGGCCGCTGGGCAGTCTGCATTAGACAGGCATTATTCCATTTGCTAAGGACCCTGGGAACAGTGTTAAGTCTCTGCAAATTCCGCCTTTTCTAGTCCTTCAAGAACAGGGGATCTCAAGAATAGGGGAGGTTTCTCAATTCCACTTTTTGAGGCAAACTAGTTTTTTGAGGTTGTACTAAAGTAGAAAATGTGTACATTTTATTGTTTAAAATATTTTATTTATATTTATTTGTATTTTATATTTATTTGAATGAGAGAGAGAGAGAGAGAGAGAGAGAGATATCTTCCATTTGCTGGTGCATTGCCCAAATGCCCTCAACAGCAAGGCTAGGACAGACAGAAGCCAGGAGCCAGGAATTTCATCTAAATCTCCCATGTGAGTGGCAGGGGTCTATGTACTTGAGCCATCACCTGCTCCCTCCCAGGGTGTGGTTAGCAGGAAGCTGAAATCCAAAGCAGAGCTGGGACTTGAAACCAAGCACTTTGATATGGGATGCAGGGTGTCCCAAGTTGCATCTTAACTACTGCATCAAATGCCTGCCCCGAGTTGTATTTTGGTAGGTTTATGCTAAATATTGGATCTTGGATAAAGAATGGGAATGTTCAACCTGGAGTGTATTAGTTTTTCCAACACAGTGTGAGGTTGTGGAAGGAATTCTGAACGGAGAGTTTCAAATCCCGCGGCCCTCACTGGCAGGGGGACTTTCAAGCCAGTGCAGTGGCTCATTTCCTTGGAGCCTCAGTGTCCCCTCTGAAAGTGGGATGTTTTTGCTATAGTTAAAGACTGAACGGGAGAATAAATTGCTTGACATACAGTAGGTACTCAATAAATACTTGGTTAACTTCTAATTTTCTGCTAAAAATTCATTAGACTTCTCTCTCCTTATATTTATTCCTGTTGTCTCTACAACACCCTGTCATCATACTCTAATGTTGCAAAAGCACTTGATGTTTGCCAGTGTCATTTGTCTCATCAATTCTTTGATCAAGTTTTCCTAACTAGAAGCTGGGAGCCCTACATTCTGACCAAGAGGTGCTGTAAGAACAGACACTAGAACTCAGATTTGCAGAAGCTCCGAGTCATAAACTCTGATCACTGAAATGTCCTTACACAATAGTCCTTGTGTGGTTTAGAAAGATTCCAGGAGCAGCATTATATTTCCCTAGGGGCAGGAATCAGGTCAGAACTGAGAGCTCAAGAAATTAGAAACTCTGTGGGCTGAGCTCACTCGGCACTGGAATCTGCAGATGCTGAACATGAAATAGCTGAAGATAGGGAACGAAGCTTCAGACAATTGAAGTGTCAATTGTTAAAAAGATAAGCCATCTTATTTTAAGAATATTTCTCAAAGGATCTGAGAAAAGAACAGAATTGATTTGTTGGACATTGCTGGTTACAGACAATAGAAATCTTGAATTCTTTTTGTTGGCTAGCGCAAAATGAATACTACTTAATACAACACATGTTTTAATACTGACAAGATAGACATTTGTCTAGATAGAGTAAATATCCTAGTCAGATCACAGAATTTTGATTTTTGGTGCAGATCAAATTTTCCTTTTCATGTTTGGTAGGTAGTGGATGTGCCCAGATATAAAGACCAATGGGAAAGGGGAGAAGGATTGGTCAGGACCATTTCCTAATATGCAGCAGGGTATAAAATGAGGTGTGAATTAACAGACAATAGTCTGGCTTAACACAGCTCTCTCTCTCTCTCTCTCTCTGTCCTTCTACTTTTTTGTTCTTACTCTTTCCTTTCTCTTTCAACTCTGTAATGATCCAGTATATAGAAGGGAAAACAGGGGCCAGTGCTGTGGTGCAGCGGGTTAACACCCTGGCCAGTAACAGCAGCATCTCATATGGGCGCCGGTTCTAGTCCTGGCTGCTCCTCTTCTGATCCAGCTCTCTGCTATGGCCTGGGAAAGCAGTAGAAGATGGCCCAAGTCCTTGGGCCCCTGCACCCACGTGGGAGACCCAGAAGAAGCTCCTGGCTCCTGGCTTCCGAATGCGCAGCTCCGGCTGTTGTGGCCAGTTCGGGAGTAAACCAGCAGATGGAAGACCTCTCTCTCTGTCTCCACCTCTCTCTGTAACTCTGTCTTTCAAATAAATAAAATCTTAAAAAAAAGAAGGGAAAACATTGTTGCAGTCCCTCACATTTTGTTTTGTGATACCCATGGGAAAGGTTTTTTCCTTTAATTTTAAAAATTGACACATAAAAAATGTACAAGTTTTTGGGGTACCATGTGATTCAACTGTAAGTTAGTGCCCATTGGCCAACCTTT